ACTACAGGACGGTTTGCACCTGGGATTGAGCAGGCCATAAGCAGCTCACCACCTGCATCTCCCCCACCTGTAAGTAGGCGTAGGGATCAGAGACCTCAGGAGCTGGCTAGCTGACGAAAAGAAGCACGTTCAAGAGGGCAGAGATCCTTGAGCCCTGAGTTTTAACAGCAGCCAGGATCTCGCACAAAGGTGCTAATGAGTTAACGGGCCAGAGCACTATTTAGTAGGGCCTCTGGCCATGAGCAATTTGTGCTGGCAACCTCGTTCGTAGAAGCAGAAGCTCTGCACCTCGGCTCCTGTCTGACTCTGTGGCTTTTGGACTCAGCTTGTGTTTGGACTGCTCTGGCTCCTGACTTCCAGCTTTGAACCTGACCACGCCCTCGGCTTTGCTCCCTGTACTCTGACCTCTGGTAACGTTTGGCTACGGCTTTGTCTGGTGTTTTGGGACTTGTTTAATGCTCTGCTGACTGCTCTCCCGGCTGACCTTTGGACTTGTATTGTGACTCCCCCTGTTTGCCTGCCTCCCTGGCTCTACCGTGACAGATATATACAGTGAAATGAGTAGAGTGCAATTAGTGAAAACAGTCCCTATATACAGTGCACAATACAGTGAAGTGTGACAATTGACCATCTGCCCGCTCATTAAGATGCTGTTTCAATATTTTCAGAACCATTTCTGTTACAGTCCCATTAGAGAATGGCCTTGTACAGCTGTTGCAGACTGTCTATAAAAGTCAAAAGGCAGAACAACTTCATGTATGATACGGCATCTAAGCAGACTTGTTTATAGCAGGAAGAAATGACACGGTTTATATCAGTCAATCCTAGGAGAAAAGAGGGGTCATTTCAATCTTATCTGTAGCACATGAAATATAAAGCCATTAGCAGAAACAAAGTGCAAAGAAAAAAAAGGAAAGATGCAATAAAAAGAAGTTAAAGAGCTCAGACTTTGAATTCTCAAAAATACCTGTGATCCAATTTCTCCTATACAGTTCGGATAATCTTTCATGTGCGGTTCTGATAACGAAGAGGCCAAGGTAAATGAGAATTGCCCAGGCAGCTCAGATCAAACGCTTTCCACATCCACTCAGGGGGAAAAAATGTTTTTTACTATAAATCATTTCTTCAAATGCTTATCTGCTCGAGTTGTTAACCTCTTGTATGTGGGAGCAACCAAACAGACGGTCTGAACATCGTAGTAAAATTAGAAATTTCTGTTTTGAAGCTCCTTTGGTTACACATTTTGTTGACAAACATCATCAACCCACTGATTTTAAACTTTAGTTATTGAGAAGATTCCGTCCAAGACTTATGACTCTTATAATATTGATAAGCTGTTGTTTCAGAGGGAGGCCCTTTGGATTTTAACATTAGAAACATCTATATATCTAATAGCCAACTTGCCCCCTCCGTGCGGATCGCTAAATCAGCACGGAGGGGGCAGGTGGGGGGGAGGGGGAGGTTTGTGCACACGTGGGCCAGTCCCCACGTGTGCACAAAAATGCAAAAAGTTAAAAAAAATTTCGGGGGGATGTTTAAATCCCCCCGAAAGTGCAAGAGCGTCTCCTGCGCATGCGCAGGAGACGCTCTGCAACGCCGCCGCCACCGCCTCGGAGCCAGCCGGCGGGCTGGCTGGCTGGCTGGCAGG